TGTGTGTGTGTGTGTGTGTGTGTGTGTGTGTGTGTGTGTGTGTGTGTGTGTAGGGAGGGAGGGAGTGTGCAGCTTCTACCTGCTAAAGCCATTGCAAGCGTTTTCCTACTTAATAACTCAGTGTCTACAATTCTGCACACTTGGTGTTGTCATTTGTGCCCTGACAGCATGTTTGTGAGGTTGTGTGCTGTGATGCTACACTGTTTTTCTCGTTACCAACTGACCTTTTCATAATTTGCTCTTTGTCCCTCTTTCCTTGACCGATGGCTGCTAGAATGAAATTCTTTCACATCATCTTCAAAGGAACACCATATATTTGGATCATCAGGTGGGATTTGTAGAATTTTCTTACTATCACACCAATTAGAACTTAATGATTATAGTACAATTTGTATGACTACTTAAGGATCTCAGTCCCTTTGATTAATAACGTGACTTCCGCAAGTGACAATCAAAAGCACTGACCAAAAGCCAAAAGGCATTTGTGAGGGTCATTGGAGGAGGACACAGAGACCTAAGATCACGAGCCTACATGCTCTCTGTTTCTTTCCTTATATCTCATGACAGTGCTGACAAAGTGAGGTTTATCCGAGCTGGGGGCAGCCAGTGAAGGACCACTGTGAAGGATGTCCCGCTGGCAGCTGGGGAGGAGAGCCGTAGTTCTGGATCCTGCATGGAATTTGCTGGAGGCCTCCTTTAGTTGCCCGTGCTATCTCCTCCCACCACTTGTTCTTTGCCCAGTGTGCAGAGCCTGTTCGACAGTGGCCTGTGGTTCTCCCCATTGCCTCAGTGGTGGGTGGCCAAGGGGAGTGATCGCAAGTAAAAGGCGTGGTGGCTCAGGCCTGGTTTCCTGTGCTGCAGGCCGAGACCCTGTCTCATGAAAAGTATCAGGAAACCAGGATAGACACTAAGTGGGCCTTGGTATCTTATCAGACATAATTTCTGCTAATGAATGAATTCTTTAATGCAGATCAAGCTAAGCCTTCCTTTGATTTGTCTTAAAATGTATAGATTTGAGTGTTTTACCAAATAAGTTCCTATAGGAAATGTTGTAAGACAGGTGTTTACAAATTCAAAGAAAACAGTAAGTGCAGCTCTATAGATTAAATTTTAAAAAAGATTTTATGCCAGGACAACCCTTTGCAGACACGTTCGGTCATTTCATTTTAAAGAAGCACACTTTCTTAGCATGTAATTTACATACTTCCCATTAATTTTTCCATGATTTTGCCTATTGGAGTGCTTCAGAAATCAGCATTTTGCTACCCACGTTCAGATCTTCATTGCAGAGCCTGGGCTGATTCTGACAGCAATATGATAAAGATGCATTCCTCACATTCTAAAAAGCTTATGGGCAGTAAGCTGTCTTTAACCTTCCTCTGCACTGTAAACTAGCACACGTGGCAAGGTAGCCCACGGCCCTGGCACAGCAGTTCAGAGGCAGGAAGATCAAAACTTCATGACTGACTGACTGTCACAGAGAAATTTACCTGACTAATAAATAACCGAGCAAACCATAGATTATCTGAAAACCTGTGGGGTATCATAAAAGTAGCGTGAGCATGAATCAGGCTACCGAGAACCTTTGGGAATAAGCCCAGTGGTTTGGTGTGGCTTATTAGTAATCTCAGCAAAGTCCATTGTGAAGTTACAGGGACAGAACTTTGGGAATTGCCTGACAGAGGAGTCTGCCACACCCACCACTGGTCCTGAGATGTTTTTCAGTCCTGTACCCGGTTCCCAGAGTGGCGCAAATGCCACCTCAGGCTCGTGTGCCATCGTAGTCTCTAGGCCTGTGCTTATGCCATACTGGTGTCCTGTTGTAGTGCAGTGAGATGTGGTCATGTGTGGTCTCTTGTCAGCAGTGCAGTCAAGGAATTTGCCATTTCTCGGATTCTGGAACAGTTACATTAGTTCCACTTTTAAATTTTATAATAAGAATAATTATAAAAATGGATGTTTTAAGTGATACTTTGCCTGTAAATTTAACTACTTGTGATAGTGAACATGTGGCTATTTTTAGATACCAGCTAAAATTTAAAACTTTTATGAACAGAAACTCATCTATGTCTAAATGTGTATGACCTTCAGGTTACCTTGGGGCTGGGTTGATGGCTCAGTTGGTAAAGTGCTTGTTGGCCATCCGCAGAGCCCAGTATAGGGAAACACACTTGTAATCCCAGCATTACTGTGGTAGAGACAGGCAGCCCCTGGAGCAGTCTGGCCTGTCAGCCTAGCCAAACCTTCAAGCCTCGGGTCCTTGGGGGCTTCAAAAGGTACATGGGGACCCACGATGGATGATCCTGAGAGACAATGTTCACCACTAGTTCAGACACATACTCATTCACAAAGAGTTACCTAAAGAAACTGCCTCCTTAAATACATCTAAAATTTGTTTCTAGTGATGTGTTGAAATGAAAAATTTTGAACTTCATTATGCATTATATGGCTATACAATATGTAAAAATGATTATGATAATTTTAGTTTAGTAGAGTTTCTCATTCAGCTCAAACCTTTGCAGCTGTCTGTCTGGTTCCTGCCAGTAACTTGTTTAAGCTGACCAGGTATGTTATTTTTGCAGGCAGTTTTGGGTATCTGGGATTTATAGATTGACTCATCAGTTTTATAGAACCACAAAGTAGCAGATCAGAGGAAGAGGCTCTGAGCAAGCTCTAAAGTACACACCTCGAGGAGCATGTTCTAACTGATTCTCCCTCTCAGCTCCTGCTGGTCCCCACTCACATTAAGTAGAAGCGATCAATACAGCCTTCCTCTGGCCTTCTGTAGTTGCCACAGCCACCCAAAGGAAAACTTGAATTCATTTAAATTCTATTAATTTCTAACATGATTTGTGAAAAGAGAGCCTGAAGATAGCCCCTGAGCTATTTCAGAGGTGAAGACAGGGAGACGGGCACGTTGAGCACCCAGTCTGAAGAGCTTGCCTCCTGAGCACTGGAACATGACTCCCCGTTGTCTCCTGAAATGGGTGTGGTGGTCCATCCCCTTACTTCCAGGGCTAGGAGCTGAAGTGCCAGGGTTGCTGGGAGATGCTTATAATAAGTTGGCTTTACTCTGAAATGCACTATCACAGATTATTAGACAGCACTATAGTAAACTACTTGAGATCTGTATTTTTAGTGCTATTTTTATTTACTCTTTGAGAATTTCATACTTGTATATGTTGTATTTCACTCATCTCCACTCCCCCAGGCTCCCCACAACACATCTCCTTCCCAACACCATGTCCTCCATTCCATAACCTAATGAATCAATGAGCTCGTTTGTGTCTGGTGTCCAAGGAGGTCAGAAGAGAGCACCAGATCCCCTGAAACTGAAGTTATACATGGTTGTGAGCCACCATTAGGATGCTGGGAACCAGACCCAGGTCCTCTGCGAGAGCAGTAATACTCTTAGTTACTGAGCTAGTTCTCCAGCCTCTAACTTCTAAGAGTGGACCAAACTTTCTATTTTGAAGATGTTCTGTAATAGCATATAGATTTTCTAATGCAGTACCTTTTCTACAAGTAGAAGTGACTTTGGGTAATGACCTCAACCCCATGGTTGATTGCTGTGAATTTTCCTCATCAGTAAGCTCCCTTTGTCCTTTCAAGGAACAACAGTAGGGAAAGCCGTGCAGATAAGAGTTCTGGGCACTTTGGACAAGTAAGACAAGGAGATTGCAAACGGGAAAAGCTCTGCCTGACTGTGTGCTCATTGCTGCTCAGTTAGCGGCCTGACTGTGTGCTTGGTGCTGCTTGGTGCGGCAGCTGTTCAGGGTAAAATCCCATAAGATGTGTGTGCCTTCCTCTGAGGTGAGTGAAAGGGTTCCTGATGGCTTCTTTGCTGTGGTAATCCAGCAGCTTCTGTTGAGCTTCCAAGCAAGCTCCATTCTGACAGCCAAGAGTCCTGGAGCTTTTTTTTCTAGGCGCGAGGAAAAGCTACAAGTGTTTCGAGGGTGCGACGGGGGTAGGCATTGGATGACACAAACTAAGAAAACTGGAGGATTTTTTAAAATTCTTACCTTTTGGGTTTTTGTAACAGGGTTTCTCTGTTTAGCCCTATAGACCACGCTGGACTCGAACTCAGAGGTCTGCTTGCCTCTTCCTGCCTTCCGGGTTTAGAGATGTGCTACCACCTCCTGGCCCATACTACATACTAGTCTTAATGACCCAGAGAATTGATATCTTCTTATACCTTGCAACTAAGAGTAATCTTTTTTAAGGATGTATTTATTTATTATGTATATGATGTTCTGTCTGTATGTGTTTCTGCACATAAGAAAAAGGCATCAGATCTCATTATAGGTTGAGAGTCTTATCGTGCGTGCATATGTGTATGCATGCTCAAGAGAGGAATAGTGCATGTGGACTCAGAGTCAGTTCTCCTCTTTGTCCATGTGGGTCCTGGGGATCCCAGACTTTAACTTGCTGAAACATCTCTCTGTCCCTTCATACCTACTCTTGGCTTTGCTTCCCTCCATCTCTTTTCTTTTTCCTCTTTCGGTTGAGGCATGGTCTCATACAGCCTAACTTTGATCCTCTTGCCTCTACCTCCCTACAATCTGTTGTTGTTGTCTTGTTTTATGTTTTATGGTGTAGAGTTCTATTCTTTCTCCTCCTTCCTCTCTCTTTCTCACTCCCTCTCCCCCTCCCTACCACTTCTCTCTCCCTCTACCTTCTCCCTCTTCTCCCCTCCTCATCTCTAGCATGCTTGAGCCTGGAAGTTGAAACCCAAAAGTCCTTGAGTAGAATAGGGCATCATGATGGCAGAATTCTAAGAAAACTAACTAGACATTGGATAGGTTAGAATTCCAAGTGTGGACTCAACACCCTCTTGTCAGTCCTGACCAGTGCCTACCTGGCTATAGTCATTCTCACTGATGGATCTGATGATTGGTGATAACTATTTCACTTGTCCTGACCTTCACCATCCAAGCTCCTCCTGTTCCTCACATTCTCTCAGCTGAGTTTATCTTGACTGACTGCTTGTCACTGTGTTCTTTCATGTTTCTGTCAGAAAGTGGAGCTTGTGTGAGCTACCTTGATGTGGGCTTATTAGTAAGAAGTTTACTTTGGGAAATTTTAGTGAGTCTTTCTTGTTGAACTTTCTTGGACCACCAGCCCCCAAATAATGACATGGAGAGTTACTAATTATGGAAACTTGGCCTTTAGCTTAGGCTTGTTCCCAACTAGCTCTTACAACTTAAATTAACCTGTTTCTAACCTACATTCTGCCAAGTGGTTTTTAACCTCTCCTTTATTCTGTATATGTGACCTGCTCTGTGTCTCACTGGTGTCTCTCTGCCTCTCTTTTTCCCCAGAATTCTTCCCAGAATTCCACTCTCTCTCCAGAAATCCCGTCTATTCTTTCCTTCCTAGCTATTGGCCATTCAGCTCATTATTAAACCTATCAGAAAGTGCCTTAGGCAGAGACAGGTCTTTACAGTGTTCATAAGTTTAACCCACAACGGGAAATGATACCAAGGTGAGAGCAAAGCGTGAACAGCGAATAACAACCGTAGGTACCCTGGACTTCTTCCGATTATACTTTGACAAATGAACAAACAGTGGGGAAGTTATACAACTTCACTGGGGAATCACCCAGGTGAACCAGACAGGAGATTGGCCCCACCCTTTAGTGTCCTAAGGCTGAGACTGGCTGCCGATACCCTGAGGCTGTGTTTGCATACATGAGCACTGGGCGGGCTAAGTACCGGTACAAAGATGAACTGATGAGATGTGGAGAGATGGCTCAGTGGTTAAGAGCACTGGTTGCTCTTCCAGAGAACCACAGTTTGATTCCCAGTACCTAATGTGGCAGCTCCAACTGTCTATAACCCCAGTTACAGAGGATCTGATGGCTTCTGGATTCTGCATGCACATGCTGCACAGACATGCATGCATGCGAAACACCTATACATAGATGTTCTCAGTGAGCTCTCTAGCACAGGCTCAGCATTCCCAAAAGTGAATGTCTCATCTGTGGCTTTCATGTCTGGCAAAAAAAAAAAAAAAAAAAAAAAAAAAACACTTAAAAGCAAAGAGTAAATAGGATCATAAGTAGGGTGTGAGTCATTCTGTCCAGGGCCTTTTGGAATAAACTGCCTCATGGCTGGGTTCTATCTGCACGGAGAGCCCCAGGTTGCACAGGCAAGTTTCCTGGGAATCGTGTCTGTGGGTGACGGACCACTGCCCTGAGTAGGCTTTTGGTTCAGAAGTTTAGATTATCCTGTGCATTGCAATGCTTTATCGTCTATCCTAATATAGAGTCATTAATTGGCTCCATTGATGAAAGAAAACTCCCGCTGCAGCACTGCGCTAAGTGAGCCTTTTGTGACCTCTGTAGTACAGGACAGTCATGTGTGGTCATGTACTCTGCAAATGCTGTGCACAGCACACTCCTAAACCCTGGGAGAATAATCAGAAACACCTGTCTGCTTAGAAATGCTGAAAATTTTGTTAATCATCGACTCTCCATTTCGGAATGCTTGTCTTTTGGGTGCTTGGGCTAACTACAAAGCCTGCTGCAAGAAACTGTACTTTTCTAGATGCCAAAATGAGATAGAATATAGCTGGAAATGTCAAGTCACCCTGCCCTGGTAGGATCTCAGGAGTTACTGAGTCCTTGCTAAAATAAGTTTTATTTTAAATGTCCTTGAATGGGGGCCCGGAGAGCTGGCTCAACAGTTAAGAGCACTGGCTGCTCTTTCTGCCATCCTGAGTTCAATTTCCAGCAACCACATGATGACTCGCAACCATCTGTAATGAGATCTGGTGCCCTCTTCTGGCCTACAGGGATACATGCAGGCAGAACACTATATACATGATAATCTTAAAAAAAAAAATTTAAAAAGTCCTTGAATGATTCTAAGCATATATGATTATACTGTGAGAAAACTCGAGAGTGTATAAAAATGCCTAGAGTGTATAAAAATGCCTATTAAGACTAATTTTAATAAAATGTGTTATCTAAGTGATAAGAATGTTGGGTATTATAAAATTTTAATATCCTTAGAGAACTAATTTTTTTCTGACTAGTCTTAGAAAGAACTGGCATTTGGTTTCAGTTTTATTAGTGAATAGAATTAAACAGTATTATTGTACTCCTAAATCCACAGATTGTCGCCCTCTAGAAGGTTCAGGTTGTCTTTTTATATCTAATGCTCTACCATCTAACATATGTAAAAGTCGCTGTTAATTGGCTGTATTGATTAAAGTGGCACTGTCGCAGTATATTTTATAGCTGTAGGTGCTTGCTTGAAACTATTGGTGTGGATTAAGTCTGTGCAACCATGGGGTGAAATGTAAGCATCTGCTGCTAGGAAGATACTAAAGTAGAGGATATATTTACAGTGTCGTCTTTCAAATCTACCTGTGCTGTAAACTGATGTTTGCTGTATGCTCCTCCTGATTTGAAATAGATGAAAGAAAATGAACCTATTATCACCATGGTTCACACAATGATTGAGAACTCGGCGCTAAGACCACAACTGTACCAACAAGTAAGGTCTTGGTCAGTGAATGACACTGCATTGTCACCTGCAAAACCCCTCAGTGACAGCCTTGTCTATCCTCAGACTTCCTCATAACATCGGTGTCTTCACATTTTGTTTGTCTGTCTGAGAAACCACACTTCATCCATGGGCCCCGAGATGCTGTGGTACCCTGAGCATGGCTTTGCTGAACCCTTGCTGTTGACTATCCCATGTGTCATCTTCCTAAGGCTTTTGTTTACATCATGTGGTCGATAGATACTTGGAGGTCTGCAGTACACTTAGCTGAAGTTACTAGGTTTCTGTGTGTTAACTCTGAAGGCATTACAAATGCTTGGCAGGGAGAAAGATTTGAAAACCTGTTTCCTTTGAAGCACAGCCCTGCAAACCTTTGCAACTCCAGGTTCGTTCATTCCGCCTGTGTGGGAGGTGATTATCTGGTTTCTTTACTGATGGAGTGGAGCCTAGCCCTTGGTTGTAACATAGGAGGGCTGTTGGTTCCCCTGTATTAGCATTCCTGTGCCTCCATCCGGGCATTTACTCCCCTTGCTGCTCCTTTCTCGCACATTGCCAGTGTGTCGGGGAGTTGGCAGGCTTTGCCTTAGGAAGCTTGGTAACCTGCAGATCTGCAAAGGAAGTCACGTTCCTGTCCATTGCTTCCAGTTATTATTTATTCATGGTCTAAATGTTCCTGGCTCTGTGTTCAACAGCATCAGCTTCTTCCACTTCAGCACCCTCCAGTTCCCTGGGCAATGACCTGTTAGAATATTTTTACATCATAACAAAGAGGAAAGAATTAACTCACATGAAAAATGAATATGGATCCTAATTCAAATGCAAGAAGCACCTGATAAAGGAAGCTGGTGAGCTTGCCCTGGCCAGAAAGGCCCAGGTGCCTCGGTCTTTGAAGTGTGCTTATGGGCAGGGCACAGGACTGCTTGATGCCAAGAGGTTAGTTCTCCTCTGGGCCCTGTTTTCAATATGTTTAAATGGCTGAAAACATCATTAATTTGCAAGAGATGACCAAAATACTAAATATTTAAAGTTAAGCAGCTTTACTTTAAGAAAACGGAAGTGACACTTACTTTTTAGTGTAACTGTACACATGTATGTGCACGGCACTCCATGGTGCATGTGTGAACATGAGAGGACATCTCCAGACTCCGAGGCAAGGGCTTTACCTGCCTCTGTAGTTTTGTTCTGGGACTGCTTCCTCCTAAGTGCTGAGATTTTACTGCCCAGGCCACCAAGCCTGCCTGAGACCACCTTAATTTGCATATTCTCTTAGGTAGTCTCCTGAAAACCCACCTAGACAGAGGGATTTCTCCAAATTGACCAAATAGCAAAGATCTAAAGTTCAGTAGCAAACAAGTATCAAATTATTGGGATTTTTTTATTATTATTTTGTGGGGGCGGGGATTGGCTTGTGTCACATGTGTGCCTAGTGCCTGAGGAGGCCAGAAGAGGGCATCAGATCCCCTGGAGCAGACAGGCTCAAACCCAGATCCTCTGGAAGAGTAGCCAGTAGTGCTGAGCTGAGTCTGCAACTCCTGCATCAAGATTTTTAAAAATCTTCTGAATTCGTTGGTCGTTGTACACGTGACACTTCCTGTGGTTTGGGCTTTATAAGACGGTGACTACTGGCGAGTTCTGAAGGGGGCGGATGAGGCGTGTCAGCAGATGCCTGCAGTACTATTCGCATTGTTTGCTGGCCTTGTTGGCTGATTGTTTTGGTGGTGGTGGTGATGGGTTTTGGTTTGGGTTTGGTTTGTTTTTTGAGACAGGGTTTCTCTGAATAGTCCTGGTGGTCCTGGAACTCACTCTGTAGAGCAGACTGGCCTTGAATTCACAGAGATCCTCCTGCCTCTGCCTCCCTGGTGCTGGGGTTAAAGGAATGTGCCACTACCACCTGGCTACTTTTAAATTTTTTTTTCAGTATTTTTAAAATATAATAGAAAACTCTTTTGGAGTGTGTGTGTGTGTACATGTGAGAGAGACATCACAAACAAGGAATTTTAAAGGTTGAGTTTTGTTTCTTTTTGTGTGTGTATTGGTTTTGTTTTTGTTGTAGTTTGTTTTTTTAATTTTGGATTTTGTTTGTTGGCAGGGGTTGGGGTGATTTTGCTTTTTGGTTTGGTTTGGGTTTTTTGGTTTGGTTTGGTTTGGTTTTTTGGACAAGGTCTCACCGTGTAGCTCTGGCAGCTCACTATATAGATCAGACTGACCTCAAACAAAGATCCACCTGCCTCTGCCTCCTGCGTGCTGGATTAAAGATATATGCCTCACTATGCCTAGCTCTAAAAGTTGCATTTTAATTAATGTGATTTATTTTAACTTAGCGCCAAAACCAGTGTTAGTGAAAGAGGAAGAACTAACAGTAGACTAAGGCTTAGTGATGAGAGTATTTGCCAACCTTGCTGGATTCTGGGTTCCATCCTCAGCACAACTAAGGAGGGAGAAAAGAAAATGAAACCAAGGAGTACTGACAGAAGAGGCTCGGCTGCAGCTCCTAAAGGCAAGGCAGGCCAGCTAGATAGCTTGGTGAGCCCTCACCACCCGGCCTGACAGCCTGAGTCAGACCCCTAAGCTCTACATAGTAAAGGAAGAGTTATCTTCTGACCTCCACATGTGTGCTGTGATAGGGGTGTCTCCACACACACATCAAGAAAGGGGCACTGGGGGCTTGGTTTTGAATAGGGCTCTTTTGTGTTTTAGGAAGGTACAGTGCTATTGCTATTTAGTAGCGTATTATTGTGATTCCAGCTCTTGGGAAGTAGAGACAGGAAGATCATGAGTTCAGAGCCATCGCTGGCTGAGTGTTTGTGGTGGTGGTAGGGTTTGTTTTGTTTTGTTTTGTTTTGTTTGCCAGTCTGGTCTTTATGAGACCCTGTCTCAACAAAGGAGTTGAGGTACTGGAGAGGTTGCTCACTGATTGAGAGCACGAGGGACTCTTCCAGAGGACCCAAGTTCAGTTCCTAGCATACATAGGGTGTGGCTTAAAACCAACTGTAAGTGACTCTAACTCCTAGGAATCCAACACCCTCTTCTGCCCCCCATGGCCACCGACACATATATGGCATATGCACATAAATTAAAATAATTTAAAGAAAATGTCCGTTGATACAATAAGTATCCTGTGAATGTGATATATTCACCGGACTATAAAGACGTCACTCAAAAGCTAGAGCAGCTGGGTGAGGTGACCCGTGCCCACAGTCTCCGCACTGCGGAGGGTGGGTATAATAAGTTCCAGGCCAGCAGGGCTACATCACAAGGTCCTGTCAAAAGGTTGTAACTGCAGTAAACGCTGCTGATGCTGTGGCAACTGGTAGGACCGTGAGTCTTCAATGACTCTCAAATAGAAACTGAGGTCCTAAACAGTCACCATCAACTCCTCTTAGTAGACTGGTGTGCTTTTCCTTGGTCTTTGGATACGGATGCAGTTCCTACTTTTAACCTCAATATAGCATCCGCTAACTGCATGCACGTGTTGTGGTCTAGTAAAGCTGCTTTGCATTTAACTTTAAATATGAAGCAAAATGTACGGGAACATCTTAATAGCACAAGGCCTCTCACCTTTAAGTTCTTCAGTGTGAAAACTAGTGTTGGCCTTCTCTAGTTGGTATCGTGGATAGAAACATTTTAAACCTCGCTTCTTGTCCCTTTTCCAGGGAAAAGTGTCAATGCTTCCTTGGGTCCAGGTGCTTTGGTCTAGACTCTTGTGGGGATGCCATTGGCTGACCTCTACCTGCAATAGCAAACAAACATTCTTTTACCGTCAAATTCATTTTTCATGGACTATTCCTTTCTATAAAACCTTGTGGCTTAATGCTCATTCTGCATACCTGAAATAGTCACGATTCATTTGCATGAGGTATGTGAAATAAAGTCGTAAGATGAAATATGTCATTGAAGGATTTATCTATATGTTTGAAATGCTTGGATTTTTAACCTTTTGATCTCCACATTTCTAGATCCGTTTAGTGCGCTCCGCTGTTTGTTTTCAGACTATAACAGGCAAGCCCTGTCTTTACAGAGGGGACATAGCCAGGCATTCTGACGGATTTGTACATGTGTATATAAAATTTAGCTCCCGTCTAGATTATCCTGGGGAGTGTTACTCCTGAACTGACAGTGAGTGAAATTGTACCATTTAGTAACCATACAACAAGGTTCAGCTCAATCTTGCCTAATGTTTCTTTGTTGCTGTCTAGCAGTCACTATAAAATGAAAGTAAGATGATGCGTGCAGAGGCTGTGGTGTGCTCTGGGTATGACTGGCCGAGATGGCTATGGAACTCTTGGTAAGCACAGTCAGGAATGAGGACTCACGTGACAGACAATTATATGAACACTTAATTTTTTTCAATGTACGGCAAAATAATTTCTTACAAGGCTGGAAGTGTTAAGTGCTCCGTTGTGCAGTGCTTGGCAATCATACATGAGGTGTTGAGTTCAGTTCCCAGCACTACAAAAATAATAATCAAATTTTTTTACAATATCCTACAAATGCTGTCAGACACAGATATAAATCTTGTGCAGTCTATTTATTCATAAGCTATAGCATAGGCTTTCAGTTTTAGGAGGTTTCCAGTGATTTCCTTTTGCAATTAAACCCGCCCTTCTCCTCATTATCTTTTAGTTCTTAAGACAGAAGAACCAGATAAGTCTCTACTGTGTATGTGTTTTATATTGCATATACGTATACGGTGTGTTATAGTTGTGTTAACGCGGTTGTGCTAAGATGTGCTGATTTGAGTGCCCACACTGAGTGTGTGTGCACTGTGGCAGATGCTTTCCCTGGACGTGCTGATGCAAACATTTGGTTCGGTGCAGCTGCTGTGGTTGTGTTTGTCCATTTTCCATCAAAGTAATGTTTGTCTTTACAGTGGAAAATGGAAGGTGCTATATTAATTTTGTTTGGCCAGCTTATTGTTTGGCATATTCTTATGTATCTTGCATATTGTATCAGTGCTAAATGTTTCTCTACTTTTGTGATGGTTTGTGCTTGAATTAAATTTCTAGAAGTATAAAAATCATTAAAATCCTGCTTGTGATTTTGACAGAAGTTTTAAAGTGTTCACTGTAGACTATATATATTACTTAAATATGATTTTTAAAGTTGCTCTGTGGCATTTTTTCTTATAGCTGTCACAAGATGAATGTAGAGGCACATTGTACAAATACAGGCCTGAAGAAGTAGATATTGATGTAAGTATCTCTGGCCTCCAGAACTCTCTTTGTCCACCAGACTGGCTTTGAGCTCAGAGAGATCCTCCTGCCTCTGCCCCTCGAGTACTAGGATTAAAGGTGTGTGGCATGAAGCCCAAGGATTCAGGAACCACAGTGGTCCATTCTTCCCATCCCAGCGAAGCTCGGGCAGGAGGAACAAACAAGTGGTTTGCACTAGGGCTGTCGCTGGGCAGTAGAGCATGCGCTTAGGATTCCTGAGGCCCTGGGTTCCATCTCCAAAGCCAGAAGAAAAAGGAAAACAGCAATTATGGTAGCGTGTGCCTGTGGTCTAAGACGCATCATGATTGGTAAGGGTGTTTGAAGATGTGTGAGCACCCTGTAACTGTTTTGTCTCTTGTTTTTTGATTGGAGAGATCTGCCTGCCTCTGTCTCCAGAGATAATAGGCATGCACCGTGTCCCTGCCACATTACTATTGGTGGTTCTCATCGACATCAAAATGCCCTAAAGGGGAAAGTGTGACCAGAGTATAGTCATGAAAAATATTTTTCAATTAAAAGAATTAATTTTTACAAAGTTCTACTAGATTTTCCATGATTGTTTTAAATGGCTCCCTTCCCTTTCTTACAGGAAAGACTTTTAATTGCTAACAACAGATGTCTTCTCTTCTAGGCCAAACTAAGCAGATTGTGTGAACAGGATAAAGTGGTCCGCGCCCTGGAGGAGAAGCTGCAGCAGCTCCACAAGGAGAAAGTAGGGCCATTCCCTTTACTATGTACAGTTGGTGTTGCTGCCTGTGCCGATGATGACGACACGGGTAGCCAGAGTTAGAGGAGTGAACCCGGTGATGGGGAGCGTTCAGTGTATCCTCTTTATCCCAACAGTACACGCTCGAGCAAGCCTTGCTGTCTGCCAGCCAGGAGATAGAGATGAATGCAGACAACCCAGCCGCCATCCAAACCGTGGTGCTGCAGAGGGATGACCTGCAAAACGGACTGCTGAGCACGTGTCGAGAACTCTCCCGAGCCACTGCTGTGAGTACCTTAGTTTTCCCAGAAGCCTGGAAGTCCTGGCTCTGGACCTGGTGGCACAGCACTAGATGACTGAGGCAGGATGCTCACGGAGTTCAGGCAGAGGCAGGATGCTCGCTGAGTTCAAGAACTGCCTGATGGTGGAGTCACTTCAGAATTGGCACGTGAAACTTAGTGAGAACCTTTCCTTTTTTAGGGGACTTGGAGGGTGGCGGGGAATTTCAAGGCAGGGTTTCTCTGTGTAACTGCCCTGGCTGTTCTCAAACTTGCTGTGCACGCCTTTAATCCCAGCACTCAGAAGGCAGAGACGAGCAGATCTCTGTGAGTTCAAGGCCAACCTGGTCTGTAGAGCAAGTTTCAGGACAGGCTCCAAAGCTACAGAGAAACCCTGTTTCGAAAAAACAAATAAAAGAATAGAATAGAATAGAATAGAATAGAATAGAATAGAATAGAATAGAATAGAATAGAATTAGCACATGATGCCAACTATACTACTGCACTCCTGGGGCTCTATCCAGAAGACTAAGTTAGCGTAACACAGAGACATGCTCGTCCAGGGTTACTACCAACAACCCCAAGAGCTAAGAAATGGAACCAGCCTAGATATGCATAGTCTAATAAATGTCATAGTATACACCATATATACACCATGGACCTTTTTTTTGCATCCATAAAGAAAGGTTAAATCATGACATTTGTAGAAAAATAGGTACAACCGAATGAAGTCATTGCATTAAATAAAATAAGCCAGACTCTGAAATAACACCACATGCTTTCTCTGAATGAACTGAGCCTTGAAAAAGAGGAAGCCGAGGGAGGGGGGGGTTCTTAAAAAAAAAAGAAAGAAAGAAAGAAAAAGAGGAAGCCACAGAGGAGAGTGAGTTGTAGCAGTTTTTGTTTGGGTGCTGGAGGTGTAACTCAATAAAACACTTGCTTCCCATGTTCTTGGTTTCAGGCTCCAGCACTGCCAAAAGATATTTTTTATTTTGCCCAGAATAAACCAAACAGTTTCCTGAAATCTTGGGATGTTTTAAGTATACTGATAATTCCATTAAGTCATGGGTCCCCTTGTGAAATAATGAATGCTTTGACTTTAGGAGCTGGAACGAGCCTGGAGAGAATATGACAAGTTGGAGTATGACGTGACTGTCACCAGGAACCAGATGCAGGAGCAGCTTGATCGCCTTGGGGAAGTGCAGGTAGGACCGGCGGGCGGTCTGCTTCCCGTGGGCTGCTGTAGCCTGGGCAGTCTTTAAAGCCTTTGCCTTTTACGGAGCCCTGAGGAGCCCTGAGGTGCTTGTGCTTCTTGGTGCTTTGCACAGTTCCCTCGGCACTGTGGTCTCAGTACTGGGTTCAGCTCTCTCAGCCCTCAGCTCTCAGAGCTTCTGTAAGTGAGTTGAATTGGGAAGGATTAGGGAGGTGTGGTCTTGTTGGAGAAGGTGCGACCCAGCCCGCACCAAGCTCAGTGTCTCTCTCTGCCTGTCAGGGCATAAAGCTCACGGCTGCTGCTTCAGCACCATGCCTGCCTGCTTCCAGCCGTGATGATCAGGGACTAACCTCCTGGGAGTGTAAGCGAGATAGATAAATGCTTTCTTTATGGGAGAGTTTGCAGTGGTCATGGTGTCTCCTCTCAGCAACAGGACAGCTGCTTAGACAATGTATATCACCTATGTGGGCACCCTCAGAGGCCAGAGGAGGGCATTGGATTCCCTACACTAAGTATTACAGGTGTCTGTGTGCTTTCCAGTGTGGGGTCTCTAGAAGAACAGCAAGTGTTCTGAAGTGCTAAGCCATCATTCCTGCCCCGAGAAAAATACTATTTCCCTGCAAGGGTGATACAGTTGTAACAAAGTCTTGCAACTGTGATTTTAGCCTAAAAGCGTGATACAGGATATTAGAGTAGGAAAGTGAATTACAAGAGCAGAGTCATGGTAGTGATTGATGTTTGTATTTCAAACATGTTTATTTCCTTCGGCCAGTCAAATGTTTCTTATTTTCTAGAATCTAGGAAGTAACACAGGAGCCCTTATCCTCAGAATAGGTCCCATGCCTTTCAGTGAATCATGAAACCACAAATAGTATCGAGCCCTGTATAATAAGGATTGGGAGGAGGTGATCTGGGGCATTGAGAAATACTCGGCATCAGCCGGACCACTAAACTGCTCCGGTCCACACCTACAGCAGCAGCAACACACTAGCACCTGTGGCTGACCAACCAGTGCGGAGGGCGGTCTCCATGCTGGTCCAGCACACTCCCTACCGCTGAGCTGCAGCCCACGGTTGGCTAGGAATAGGGAACCAGTGAGAATGAACCCATAGTGAGGGGAGCCCATGGAGAACCTCCTGTGGCTTCCTCTCTGTCCTCAGGAACCTGCATCTGTCTTGTTTTACCTTAGGGATGGAAAGTTTTTGTTTTCCCTTCTCAGTGTGCCTTTCTGGGATCGTGAAGAACAAGAATGCACACTGCAGACATGTGCATAGCACCCTTGAGTCAGAGAAACTGTTTCTCTTTTTATTTTCCCTTTTTATCTTTGCAACATCACAGGCTCACATGTGTTATCCTCAATATCCTGGGTACTTAATGCTCTGTGACTCTCTTTTTATTATATAACTAGTGAGACTTAGAACTTTGACTTTTTTTCCCCCAACTTATTGTTGAATTAGTTATTTTCCTGTTGCTATGATAGAAAACCCTGTCAAAAAGCATCTTAGGGGGGAGGAAGGGCCTATACTTGGTTTACACTTCCAGAGGGATAGAGCCATCATAGCAGGAAAGGCGTGGCAGCAAGAACCAGAGGCTGGCCTGCAGGCCTAAGGAGAGAGAGCGAGGATGGGAAGGGAGCTCCGCCTAGTGTGTGCGTCCTCTAGCCAGGCCCTGCCAGCTGAAACCAGGCGTTCAAATGCATGAGTCCCTGGATGACATTTCCAGCTCAAGCACCACAGTGACCTGTCCATCTCTACCGATAGAGCGAATCGGCAGGGATTCAACGGGCACAGATTCAAAAAGAACTTTGGAGAATTCAAGATGTCATGGAGGGTTTGAGCAAACACAAACAGCAAAGAGGCTCCTCAGAAACAGGTGGGTCAGCTTTGTGTGTCTGCGTCCAACTAGAAAAATCTGTCTTTTTAATGGGGTACAGAAGTTAATAAACTAGAAGCAGCAGCTTGGCAGCCATGGCCACACAACGCCTTGTCCCCTGTGTGTGATGCTGACCGTACTTCAGCGACTCCTCTCTTCTGAATCTTCTCAGTGGGAAAAAAAAAAACTCGCTCTGTAGCCAGGCAGGCCTTGAACTCACAGAGATCCACCTGCTTCTGCCTCCCAAGTGCTGGGATTAAAGGCATGCGCCACCACTGCCCAGCAAGGATGGTGATCTTACACACGTTTTTCCTTTTGCTTTTCCCCTTTAATAGTATTCTTTATTTTTCATTGAAGCACGCATGTGTCTTGACCATGCCACCACAGCTTCCCTTAGGGCTGTCACTACCACCTTCTTGTCTTTTGTTTCTCTTTTCTTGCTTCCAACCAATGAGTGCAGTCCCTGCTGCTGTCAGTGTGCTGACTGACCTGGTTGGCCTTCCACTCCTGAGTGCATGTGTTGCTAGCTGCCTGTGACACTGTATAGGTTAACTGTACTTTATCCTTGTCCATACTGTTGAACATGTGCACTTTCTGAAGTACTATTTTGGTACCGTCTGTAAGTTCTTCTTCCTTCTGTAGCAAGCATCATTATGCATATAACAGAACATACTTGCTAGTACCCACTGGGTTCTGCAGTGTAAAAATTAGTACATCCTGCATTCTAAAGGATATGGCCAGATTGCTGTCATCAGAGAGCACTGTTTATACTTTGTTATATAATAATGTTTGCGGAAACCTATTTTCACAAATCCTTTCTTTTTCTATATTTAAGATTCTTTTTGAAATTTATTTTATGTATACAGGTATTTTGCCTCCATGTTTGTCTGTGTAACATGTGTCCATGGAGGCCAGACAAGGGCACCAGATCCCCTGGAACTGGAGGAACTGGACTTTTACAGCCCACTGTAAGCCACCAGAAGAGTGCTGAGAATCTAGCCAGTGCTCTTAACCAGTGAGCCATCTCTCCAGCCCCACGACCATTTCTTAAATTTAATATTTAGAGCAGGTATTGGCCGCACATACCTTTAGTCCCAGCACTCAGGAGGCAGAAGCAGGCAAATCTCTGTGAGTTTGAGGCCAGCCTGGTCTATAGAGGACAGAGAAACCCTGTGTCGGAAAATCAGAAAAGAAAAGAAACTGAAGACTAACCCATGTAATCCTAGCACCCGGGAGGCTGATGCAGGGTATTTCCTTCAGTTTGAAGCCAATCTCAGTTAGCAGCAGGTAACTTAAGCTCCGGAGCAAACTCCTGGAAGCACACACAGTGAAGGTGTGGGGACAGTGATGAAGGCTTCGTGTGAAATGGGTGAGTAAGTGGAACCAGGTGGTAAGATGGGGAAGGACGCTGGCGGGCAGGACTAGAGACTGAGTTTGATTCCTGAAGCCCACCAGATGAAAGGACAACCCACTTCTGGAATTGTTCTCTAACCTCTCCGTGTGTGCTCTGGCACATGTGTGCATACCCTCGCACACAAAATAAATGCATTTAATTTAAATGTTTTGGTTTTGATTTTGATTTTCAAGACAAGGTTTCTCTGTGTAACAGCCCTAGCTGTCCTGGACAGCTGCAGACCAGGCTCGCCTCGAACTCAGAGATCCATCTGCCTCTGCCTCCCAAGTACTGAGATTAAAAGCATGTGCCAAAATTGTCCAGCTTAATTTAAAATTTTTAAGTAAAGTAAGCTAACTGAAATCATTCTTTCTGTGGGTTTAGGAAGGTTTTCTTAGTATAAATAGTTATGTTTTCTAATTTTCCCAGTAGGTCTGGCAGGATCAAAGCCTTTCTCGGCAGTTAAGTACAAAAGCGAGGTAAGTTTGGTTTGTTCTTGTAGCTAACTTTAAATGTTAACAAGTGAAATTAAAAGTTAGTCTTCTCTATTCCTGAAATGAATATTTTTTTAGACTGCCTGGAATGGTCATGCATACCTGTAACCCCAGTATTCGGGAGGTTGAGGCAGGAGGATGGCAAATTTGCAGCCAGCCTGAGCTACATAGCATGACTTCTTCTCTGGAAAAAGAAAAAGAAAAATAGAAATGTCTTTTAAATGTATTTAGATCATTTTAATTTTGAAATGTCACTGACTTGGTAATTTGGTATCTTAGTAATTTCTAACATGGTTTTTCTTCCTTAAATGTAAAAATCAAATTAGTACTGCTTTTCATCTGCTAGAGCTTTAACATCACTGTGCTTTTCCTGAGTAATTTGAATATTTATCGTGGCTTCTTATCTCTTATAACATTTATAGGATGGTTGCTAGCCAAAATTTGCTTGGTCATGCATGCCATAGAGAATTAATAACAACAAAGAGATACTGTCAACCTAACTGAAAAAAGTCTGTGGCCTTGAGTTTTGTTTAAAAGCCAAAAAATTATTTTCCTTTTTCTCTCAAAATCATTAAAAATACGTTGTTTTTTTTTTTTTTTTTTTGTCCTGGTTTCGCAGTGAAGTATAGTAATTTCCCATAGTACCTGTCTGGGTAGATAACGCTACCCCATAAGTGTAGGAGAAAACAGATATGACACTTAAAACCTCATTTTTTACTATCATGAGAAATTGTTTTGGTTTTTCAGTGTGAGACTTTTGGCTTGGCAGTGTCCCTTTAATGATATTAAAGTAATTTTAAGTTAATATAGCAATGAAAACAGTTTAGAAATGCTTAACCCGATCTGCTTATCTAAATAAGGTGACTATTCTACAATCTTTAGGAAGAGGAAGTAGTCCCACCTCGGCCTCCACTTCCTCGGTCCTATGACTTTACCGAGCAGCCTCCCATAATCCCCCCTCTGCCCAGTGATAGCAGCTCCTTGCTCTGTTATAGCAGGGGCCCCGTGCATCTGCCTGAAGAAAAGAAGATTCATCAAGTTCAAGGATATCCAAGAAATGGATCTCACTGTGTAAGTGGCTGAAATAGCCACAGAATGATTTCATATACCCACACGTTTTTAAAAATTAATTTATTTCATACTCCTGCTTATTTTTGCTATAACTCCATTTTTTAGCTAGTGCTTTTTTGTTTGCATATAACATTGCCCTTTGTTTTCCCAATTTACATTTTATCATTTTTTAAAATATTCTCATTTTAATATTTCATTATTCATAAAGTGGTTACTTTACACATTCTGATCTAACTATATTTTAAATTCACCACTTAAGAGTATTAGAGGCGAATAGAATATTTAGCACAGAAAATAGCAAAATGGGTGGAAAGTGGGCAGTTTAGGAAAACCCTGAAAGGACATAGGCACTGGCAGGTAGCAGGTCTCGCTGGGATTGAAAATGAGGGCTTCAGTGAGCAGCTGAGGAGACTGTCATGAACAAGAACAATGAGGGACCTAGAATCGGGCAGATGGGTTATGAGATCAAGGCCAGCAGACCCTGTCACCAAAAGAAAAACAAGAAAATGGACCTCAATATTATTTTGAGAAATACAAAATATTCTCTGACAGAAATGTAGTTTGGGGTGAATATTACTTACTCAGACTTATTTCTAGATGGAAATTTATTGGACTGTATGGTTATTTTTAAACCTTAGTCTTACCATGATAACAATGTAACTTTGAGCCGAGGACCACCTGTCCGCCAGCACTCAGAGAGGCAGATGCAGGAGAACTATGGCTCTAATGTAGGCTGAGCAGCCTCTGAGAGAGAGAATAGGAATACCTGCTTCGAGGTCAAAACGATCAGGAGGTCAAGGCCATGCATGCAAGGAGCTCCAGAGAGTTCAGTGATTAAGAGCACGTAACCATTAACCTAGACACCACAGGAGCCCACATTTAGTTCTTTGTACCGACTTAGCCATCCACAGCCGCCCGCCCGGAATGGCGATTCTCGGGGACCCAACACCCTATGTGGTACACTTAGAAACATGCAGCCAAAACACTAACGTACATAAAATAAATCTTTAGGATTAAACCAGGGCCCTTGGTTTAACCCTTACACAAAGAAAAAAAGAAGCTTTGTCCCTAGGAATATTCTTAATTTTAAAATAGTAAGTTTTACTAATGAAAATTTAAATTAGTTTTTTTTTCCTAAGAAAGGGGGGAAAACTTTTAATTATTCTTTCTGCTCAGTTGGTGTGTGACATGTGTCATGCCCTGTCAGAGTTGGCACTTTCGGTTGGCATCTTTGAAGGCACACTTATTTTTCGGTTGAGCGCAGGACCTTACACACCAGACAAGGCTGGAGCGCCGAGCCTCCTGCCTAGATGAGGTGCACAGTATACAATGGCTGTCGTTTTTGTTGTTGTTGTTGTAATCACATGTCTTCCATTCAAGGGTCCAGATTATAGACTCTACAAGAGTGAGCCAGAGTTGACCACAGTAGCTGAAGTTGATGAGTCTAATGGCGAAGAAAAGTCAGAACCAGTTTCTGAGACGGAAGCTCCAGTTGTTAAAGGTCAGCGTTCACAGTATTTTATCTTCTCCTTTCATGTTTCATGTTGTTTTCAGATATTTTGGTGTGCACCCTTACCCAGCATGAACGTAAGTCCATAATCTCATATCTAAAATCTTTGGGAATCTCTTTGAATTTCCCAAGACATTAAAAAATGTCTTAATCTGGGCATAGTGCTGAATCTCTGAGAGTTCAAGGTTAGTCTGGTCTGTGTAGTGAACTTGAGGACTGCCAGGGCTACATAGTGAGACCTTGTCCTGGGGAAAAGAAAGGATGCTTTGACCAGACATAGTGACACAACATGCAGGAGGATTGCTGAGTTTGGGTCCAGCTAGGACTACTTAGCATGACTCTGCCTCCAAGAACATACATAAATGGGCCAGAGTTGGCTCAGCGATTACGAGCGTCTACTGAGGACCTGGGTTCCACTCTCAATACCTGCATGGCAGCTCACACCATCTGTAATTCCAGTTACACAGGATCCACTCTCTGACCTCTAAGGGCACCAGGCACACACATGGTACACATATAAACATACACAGCAAATAAATAAATCTAAAAAATGTGTTTTTTAAAGAAATTAAAGTAAAAAAGAATCAGAAATGTTTAGGCAGAAGAGCCCCCATTAGGGGTGCTCTACGGGCTTGGTGATGAGGAGTGCTTGCTGTCTTCCAGAGGACCCAGGTTCGGTTCCCAGCACCCACATCAAGCAACTCACAACCACCTGTAATTCCAGCTCCAGGAGATTGCAACATCCACTTCTGGCCTCCAAGAGCACTGGCAAGTGCACGTGAATGTGTGTGTATGCATGTGAATGTGTGCGTATGCATGTGAATGTGTGCGTGTGTACGTGCATCAAGCCACAGCTAGCAACTTTCCTGGAGAATTTTGTCCTGCCCAGCTGACTGACAGGCCCTTAGGATTGTTTCTTATAGGAAGCTCAGTGGTGTGCTGTGGTTCCTAATCGGAGAGCCTCCCACTACACAGTAATCTGACAGGATTCAGACAGTTCTGTTTGGAGACTTTCTAGGTGGGATGTCATATCTCTGCCTGGAACCCCATTCTTGGTCCAGTAATCATGGCCCTGCAGTTGCAGTTTTTGCTTTTCCTTGCTACTGTTGGGAGGGAGGCTCATCTGCATCTAGAAACGTCTCGCAAGCATCCGTCTCCACCCTAGTGCTAGGGTGGAATCCAGGACAGCGAGCATACTATGCGAGCCTGTTCACTCTGCTTCGTCACCAACCTCGGGTCTCATCTGAAGAAGGCTGATGGGCTTTTGCATGAAGAAGATCCATCATATCAAATTGCATTATAACAAATCATTTTTTATTTCATTTGTCTTAATGTTTTCCTGTGTGTCTATATGTGTTCACGCATGCCAGGGCACATATGCGGAGGTCAGAGGACAACCTTGGATGTCGGTCCTCACTTTAGAGACAAAATTTCTGGTGTTTTGTTTTTCCTGCTGTGTGTGCTAGGCAGTTGGTCCATGACCTTCTGGGCATGCTGCTGCCTCAGCCCCTCCTTTCCCCACAGAGGTGCTGAGGTGACAGCAGTACTCTGTGCGTCCAGTGTGTGCATGCCCTGTCATTCTCGTGGAGGTCAGAGGACAGTTGCATAGAATCAGTTCATTCTTCCAAGTTTTATGTGGGTTCCAGGAGTTGAACTCGCATCTTCAGGCTTACATGGCAAGCACTTTTATCCACTGAATTATCCGCCCTCATACCCTTCCTTATTTTTTCAGATAGCATTTCAGTGTAGCCCAGATGGATGGGGGAGGGGCTCCTCTTTTCTACTGCAGGCCTCTGTTTCGCAGCAGGGAGACTCATGCTTTCTTCTGCACATCCCCAAACCTTTGCAATGTTACCGCTGTGAAATGACTGTTGGATACAGAAACAGTAAGCTGGATGGAGTTCTTGAGAAGTTCACTACAGACAGGCGCTGGGGAGATGCTTCCGGCATCTGCCAGTCTGCAGTGGTGGAAGCAGCAAGAGCAGCCACCCACAGCACAGGACGTCCCTTCCAGCTGTAGACTACAGAGTGTGCCAGTTAGTGAAGTGCTGGATGGAGATCTGTTCACTGATGCAGGAAGGGAGGCCCTGCCTCCCGGCCACTCCAGGCTGGGAGTCACAGCCCAGGGGAGGGGCCAGAGGTTAGGAGGCATGGCTGATGCTCTCTGCACGGGCAGCGCCTGTGGGCAGCCTATGCATGTTCTGCATGTGTTTCTCCCTCAGACAGTTTTCACAATTGCAGCGACAGAGAGGCTAGAGTTTGTCACTAAGGTGCTTCGTTTTGGTCTTGAACACCCTCCTGTCCTGCTGCCTTCCTGTCCTCAGCTTCTCTTGCTCTGGGTTCCTGTTCCTTGGGACTGTCTCACCTTTCTGGAATGGGCTCGGATTCACTGTGCACCGGAGTTCATGCCAAGCTGGTCTTCATGTTGCTTTTCAGATGTTAAAATGTTAAGATTACAGTTCATTTTCTGTTGCTTTTCTTTGGATCTGGCAGTACTGGATATCGGGCCTCACATGTGCTAGGCAGGCACTTGACTGAGCTTATGCCTGTGTGTGATCGAGGCGCCCACGGAGCCCAAAGGAGTCAGGCTCCTCTGGAGCTGGAGTTCTGGATGGTTGTGAGCCGCCTGGTGTGGGTGCAGGGAACGGAACTCAGGTCCTCTAGGAGAACAGTATGAGCTCTTAACAACTGATCTCTATTGACACTAAATCATTCCACTTACATTCCTAGAATAAACCCCAATTACAGAGCTGTTGGCAGAAAACACAGCTCTCTTTCCCACATTAAGAGTAGGTTATGGGGCTGGAGAGATGTCTCAGTGGCACTGGCTGCTCATCCAGAGGTCCTGTGTTCAATCAATCCACAACCACATGGTGGCTTACAACCATCTGTAATGAGATCTGGTGCCCTCTTCTGGCCTTCAGGCATGCATGCAGACAGAATACTGTATACATAATAAATAAATCTTTTTTAAAAATTGAAATTAAAATGAGAGAGAGAGAGTAGTTTATTCCAGACTACATGTGTGTGTCCATGACCTGGGAACACACCTTCAGGTTACTGCCCTGGCAAAAGACCTGAGTTTGGTTCCCAGCACCCGTGCCAAGCATCTCACAATCACTAATAACTCCAGCGGCAAGGGATCTGATGCCTCTGGCCTCCGTGAAACTCACCTGCGCCTATACATACACACACAGAGAGAGTTAAAAATATAATGAATTAATATTTTTAAGGTTTATTTTTATTTATCTGTTTTATAAATGTATGCCTCGTGTGGGTACCCTCGGAGATGAGAATAGGTAATGGAGAGCCTTTGGAGCTGGAGTTGCAGGTGGTTATGATCTGCCTGACGTCGGTGCTGAGAGCTGAACTCCAGTCCTCTATAACAACAGGAAACGCTGAGCCGTCTCTCCAGCCCCAGCACTTTGCAAGTGGACGCCAGAGCTGGTGTGGTCTAGTGGCAGGCAGAGCACTGGCCATGACTGAGACTGAGTCCCAACTGACAAGAAATCCCTAAACAGCAAAGCCTCCACTGCAGGCGTCACCAGTACACCATACTGTGTCACAAACCTTCTGTGGAACTTACACTGCCTTAACTTTCAGGTTCCCACTTTCCAGTTGGAGTTCCTCTGAGAACGATGTCACCCACACCGGAATCCTCGACAATAGCTTCCTATGTGACCTTGAGGAAGACGAAGAAGGTGGAGCTAAGAACGGTACAGACCAGAGAGAGCAGCGAGCGCCAGGCCTCTGCACTGCTGCTGAGAGCTTGCCCTTTGTAGAGTCTGATTAGAAACATCGCCTTCCTTACGTTTTATCACAGTGAGGAAATCAGAACCTCAGAGGACAGCCGATTACAGTATCTTTTGGTCAGCTCCAACATAAGGCTTAGACCACAGTTTGGCTACACAGTGAAACCATGTCCTTTAAAAAAAAAAAAAAGCAAGAAAGAAAAAAAAACATAATACAGGACATGGTGGCATATGCTTGTAATCCTAACTACTCAGGAGGCTGCAATGTACCCTTGAGTTTGAGGCCAACCTGGACTGCATTAGACCCTGTGTCAAAATTCCCCACCTCCAAAATAGAAATAATTGTGAGATGAAGCTAACAGCCATATATCAGTATTAATGTGGTGGCCACGATGCTGAAGTGCAGCTGTTAGTAGAGAATAATGTCCTATAGTTTTATTGCTAACCAAAAAATATTTTAGGGTGTTTTCTTGACTAGTCATTTAACGTATGACTAAAAACATTCTCTTAAAATGAAAGAAATTCCTGTCATTTAAGCGTTCTGCCCTAGCTCTCCCCACCCCCATTTCCCCTAATCTGAGTTTCATGCCATTTTCTGTTTCCAAGACATGGAGTAACTTTATTCAGGGAAGCCACACCATTTATTTGGAGTGTGTTTGTTTTTAAGGACAAGGTTTCTTCTGGCTGTCCTGGAACTCATCCTATAGACAAAGCTGGCCTCAGACTCACAGAGATCCCCATTCCTCTGCCTCCCGAGTGCACCATCACTACCAGGCCACATCATCTATTTATTTATACATTTATGTTTAGTGAGGCAGGACTCAATATGTAACCCTAGCTAGCCTCAAATGTAGAGCACTCCTGCCCCTGCCTCTTAAGGCATCACTGCCCTAGGCCACTGTACGTGCATGTGTGCGTATATGAAGGCAAGGGTCCACACTGGCTGTCTTCCTTGATCATACCCCACAGGGTGTGAGCTCCAGAAATATGCCTGTCTCCCTCTGCCTTCCCTCACCCAAGCCCTGGAGGTTTCAACAGGAACAACTGTATCTGGCTTTCTCTTGGTGCTGGGAATGCAGGCTCAGGTCTCATGTACAGCAGGCACCAGCTCCCCAGCCCCAGCTCCATCTTTTAAAGTAGCATTGGCGTTTAATAAGATAATTTTGTTTTGTTTTGTTTTGTTTCGAGACAGGGTCTCTTTGTATAGCCCTGGCTGACCTGGAACTCACTCTGTAGACCAGTCTGGTCTTGAATTCACAGAGATCCACCTGCCTCAGTCTCCCGAGTGCTGGGACTTACGACATGTGTCGCCGCCGCCACCCAGCTTCAATAGGGTTTAATAAAAACGATTTAATACAGATTTGGAGCCTGTGGATTAAGAGAAAGAGGAGCACTCAGAAAGAACGCCAGCAATGTCATGAGCGTAGGCTCTCTGAGACAGTTGCCGTTTGGCTGTTCCAGCTCTCAGTCTCCATACCTCACAGTGGGATGAGTTGATTTCCATGGCGCTGAGGCTAGAGCCCAGGGCCTGTGCGGCTAGGTTAGCACTCGGCCACAGGCTGTGTTCCTAATCCTGCTTTCTGCTGCTGCTGTTTTTCTTTGTGGCCCCCTATGTCTCATGTGGCTGAGTGAGCCTGGCCTCAAACTTGTGAGCCTCCTGCCTCAGACTCCTGAGTGCTGGATTATATGCCTGAACTTTTTTTTTAATTTGTATATTTTATTTTATGTGCATTGGTATAACAGTGTCAGAATCTCTGGAACTGGAGCCACAGACAGTTGTGAGCTACCATGTGGGTGCTGGGACTTGAACCCGGGTCCTCTAGAAGAGCAGTCAGTGCTCCCAACTGCTGAACCATCTCACCAGTCCTCCCCAAATCCTTTTTTTAAAACCAAGAAAGCAGTACCCTCTCTGTGCCCTTCTTCTCTATGCCTCTGCATTGGTAGCCCCCTTGCTGGTTCCCTCCATCACTGACCACACATCAGGACCAGTTGAGGATGGGGTCACTTTCGCTGCCGTCTGATGGCCCCTCACTAGCATTCAAATCTGCACTTTTGATGTTTGAAGGCAAAAATAAGTAACTGTACCTTATAAAATCTTTTATTCATGATATTTTTCAGAAGTATCTGTTCTTGACACAACATCTCATGTAATCCAGTCTTGCTTCAACTCTGTGTGGGTGAGGATGGTCCTCCTGCTTCAGAGTGCTGGACTGATAAACAAGCGCCTGGCTTAATTGGAGCAGGGAATACAGTTCAGGGCCTGATACATGCTATGCAAGCGCTCTACCAACTGAACATCTCCAGCGTGGGGGGCGGGGGCAGTGCGTGCGTGCGCGCATGCGTGCATGTGTGTGCGTTTGTATTCACGGGCTTGTGTTTTGATCTTAAGGAAAGACCGAGAAGCGCAGTGGAACAGCTCTGTCTGGCTGAGAGCGCTCGGCCTAGGATGACGGTGGAAGAGCAAATGGAGAGGATCAGGAGACACCAGCAGGCCTGCCTGCGGGAGAGGAAGAAGGGACTGAGTGTCATCAGTGCTTCCGACCAGTCGCCCTTACAGAGCCCTTCCGCCGTGCAGGACAGTCCTTTCAGGCCCACTCAGGTAAGACTTCGGAAGGAATTGCTTTTGGTTATTATGTATCAATCCTTTCTGTTCGTTTGTTAAGAAAGCTGGCTTATTTAGCTGGCTACAAAGAAAGCAGCCAGCCTGGCAGTATCAGAAGCACAGTCACCATTTTCCCATGTTTCTGGGCTAATTAAGCAATCACCACGAAACTACATCCCCAGCCCTCAGTAAAAGTTTTTATTTTGAGACAAGAACCTCATAAATTGTTTAGAATGTCCTTGAACTCATTCTGTAGCCCAAGCAGGCCTTGAACCTACAGTTCTCTTGCCTTGTCTCCCATGTAGCCAATATGACAAATTGGTATCACAAGACCAGGCTAAGGTCATAGGTAGAACTGATCTGCAGACAGATTTTTCTTTGAGCGGCCAGCTCACAAAAAACCACACGGAGATTTATTATTAATTATAAAAGCTTGGCTTAGGCCTGTCCCACTAGCTCTTATAGCTGAAATTAGCCCATTCATATTAAGCTACATTTTGCCTTGTGTCTTTTTACCTCTCTTCCATCTTAAATCTCCTGTTTGTTTTCCAAGTCCTTTAGCATCTCTCCTGTGTCTAGATTCATCTCTCCTTCTGTCTGTCTGTCTGTCTCTCTCTCTCTCTCCCTCTCCCCCCCTTCCCTCCCTCTCTCTCTGCCCAGAAGTCCCACCTAACCTCTTTCTGCCTTAGCTATCGGCCATAAGCTCTTTATTAAACCAGTAAGATGGCACCTTGGCAAAGACACATCCTCATAGTATACGAAAAGGTTATTCCATAACACTGACCTTTATCTGTTTTGTGTGTGTGTGTGTGTGTGTGTATTTGTGTGGCTGTGCATGCCACAACACACATCTGGACAGGACCACCTGTAGAAATTGGTTCTTTCCCTCCAGCTAGGCTCCAGGGATTGAACTCAGGTTGTCAGGCATAGCAGCAAGACTGAGGTGTGTGACTGTGACGTCTTGGAACCTTACCGCATGGGCTGGACTCAGTTTGTCAGGCCTCCTCCCTCTGCTCCCAAGTATGAGGGTCGCAGGCATAAGGCACCACACCCAGGTTTGCCTTGTTTTAGTCAGGGGTGGGAGGGATAACACAGGCCTCTCCCTGAAAATGACCTTCGGCCCCTGATCTCTTGCGTCCCAAACTGTGCCAGCGTGCACTCTTTAAAATAAAAAAAAAGTTTATTTTCGGACAGAGTCTCACTAATTGTCCTTGAGCTGACTTTGCAGTCAAGGGTCCTGTATTAGCCTGAAAGGGGGCTGGGTTACAAGCAGGCACCATCCAGGCTGCTTCAGCTGAGTTTTACAAAGATAGACTTCCGTGTTTGATGGGTTTTAATAGTTCTGCCATAGAGATAGCTATTTTCTATGATTTGATTATTATAATAGTAAGCTACGGTAGCTTATTAAAGTGAAAATAGCCCTGAGCTCAAGAGAGGATAGCTGCTGCCAGTGGTGGCTCACACCTTAATCCCAGCACTCAGGAGGCAGAGACAGGCGGATCTGGTCTACAGAGCGAGTTCCAGGACAGTTAAGGTTCCACAGTGAAACCCTGTCTCCAAAAAAGACAGGAGAGGGGAGCATGGGGAGAGAGCCAACATAGTTAATGGGTGCTCTTGTGCCCCCTGTGGCTTCATTTTCCCAGCTGTAAGCTAATGATACAACATGGCTGTTTGCCTCAGAAAGCTTTAAAAATTCTCAGCAAATGTGAAATGCCCTGCAGGACAGGCCCTAGTTTACCTGGTAGTGTGATAAACACCAGGACCAAAAGCAACTTAGGGAGGAAAGGATTTGCTTGGCTTGCAATCCATCATTGATGGGAGCCAAGGTAGGAACTGAGGGCAGGAGCTTTAAGTAGAAACCATGGGAAGGGGGCTGGAGAGATGGCTCAGAGGTTAAGAGCATTAACTGCTTTTCCAGAGGTTCTGAGTTCAGTTCCCACCAACCACGTGTGGTGGCTCAAAACCATCTTCAATCTGATGCCATCTTCTGGCCTGCAGGCAAACATGCAGACAGTATACTATATATATAATAAATAAAAATAGAATGCACTCAGGACCCCTATTGCTTGGGATGGTACTGCCCACAGAACATGGTCCTCGGGCCAGTCTGATGGAGGCAGTCTCTGGAGACTCCTGCAGGTACCTCCCAAGGACGTGAACTTGGAAGTACTCTGCTGTGGGATGCTTAGCTAGCATGTGCACGGCCCTGCATCTGTTTCCCAGCACCCCCAAACTGTCTGTCTGCATCACAACTTAATAAGAGCTGTTTTGTAGCAAGAAAGATTGTTCTTAGTTTCCCAGCTTGCACTTGTCGCCCTCAGCAGTGGAGTCGCCGTCCGTTTGTCTCGGTTGTTGACTGCCCATGTCCCCCTCTAGCTGAAGTCTACCCAGCATGCCGTGCGTGCTGCGTCAGCGGGAAGGGTGCCGTGCGTGCTGCGTCAGCGGGAAGGGCTTCCTTGCCCTAGCCCAGCTCTTCTTCCCGCTAACAAGAGCAGACTTTGCTCATGGCCAGTAGACCCAGAAAGTTGAACATGGCACATTTTAAAAATTGTAAAATGGGAGACTTTAAAACAGAGGAAAGGAGAAAAGTATATATTCCCTTCGTTTTTCTTTTTTAAAGAAATTTTCCTGGTAAAACATGCTCAGGTGCACAGTACCAGTCTAAAGATGCTCTAGGAAGCAAAGGAAGGAAAGCCGGGTGTGGTGGTTCAAGCCTGTAGCCCCAGCATTTAGGAGACTGACTCGGGAGGAATGCCTTGGGTTGAGGTGGGTTCAAGAACAGCCTGGGCTGCCTAGTGAGACCCCCATCTCAAACAAAACAAAAAAGAGGAGTACCGAGCTGGGTGCTGGTAAAACATGCTTTAATCCCAGCACTCGGGAGGCACAGGCAGGTGGGTCCCTGGGTTCGAGGACAGCAAGGACTACGCAGAGAAACCCTGTCTCTAAAAGAAAACAAAGCAGAGGTGGCTTAGCTGTTAAGAGCACTGACTAACTGATTGCTCTTCCAGGTCCTGAGTTCGGTTCCTGGCACCCACGTGGTAGCTGACAGCCATTTGTAATAGAACCAGAGACCCTCTTCTGGCTTGCAGATTACTAATACATAGAATATAAATAAATAAATCTTAAAAACAAAAAAATAGGCGTACAGTAGAGAGGTAAAAGAGTACTTGCTAGGTTTAGTACCCAGTACTCACATCAAAGAGTTCACAAGCACCCGTAACCCCAGCTCCAAGGGATCTGACACACTCTTCTGGTTCCACAAGTACCACATACACATAAATAAATAAAAATAGAATAAGTCTAACTACAAAATGCTTTAAGGCTAAGCAGTAGTAGCAAAACCTCTAATTGCAGCATCCAGGAGGTGTAGGCGGAGGATTATACTTTCCCCACTAGGCTGGGCTACATAGCAAGACCAATCTATAATCCTACCAACTCATAAAGTCAGCCAAGGCAAAAGACTCACTACAGATTCATGGCCGACCTGAGTTACACAGGGAGCTATGGCCCAGCCTGGAATGAGGCCCTGGTTCCAAACAGTAAAATAAAGTGTAAGCACATGAATAGAATTGCTGTCTGTCTTTTGAGCAGACTCTAAGGAGGGAGGACACTGTTCAGGAGCTAGACACCATCGACAGAGAAAATGACGGAAAGCCAGACCACAAAACTCCGGCCGCAGAAACTGTTCTACTAGAAGAAACTGATCCCCGAAACGCGAAACTCGGCAGAAAGGTAGAAGTGGCAGATATGGCAGGGTGGTGGGGTACTTGGAAGACTAGATCAGGGGAACTAAGGTGTGCTTTTCAGTCAGAAAGCTCTAAATCTAAATGAAATGATAACTCTCTTAATTTGGTGGGTATATTCATCATAGAAATATCCCCCAATAGCTGCATCAGCAGTGTGTGCCATCTCTTTGTATAAACGACTTCATGCATTTCGGTAGCAAATACTGTGACTGTTGTTCATATTCTTTAATCTAGGCTTATTCACAAACATTTATGACAGCGTATAATTTTGGGCATAATTTTTAATCAGTGTGATCATTTCAGCTTTACTAACATTAAATGTGGCAGAAATGCTCTGAAAAGTGCTGTTTCTTCCTTTGTAGCTTCAAAGGACTGAAAGTATTTTCTATGAAATGCTTTACACGCCTGAGTCGAATGGAATGAATTCTGAGGGGGTGATGGATAAAGAACGGCATGAAGGTCAGGCACGGGAAGATGTTCCCTGCAGGTAAGAGCTCAAGAAGACAGGAACTGGCTGTTCAGGAAGCTGGGAGGCTCTTTTCTATGATGTATTTATTTATTTTCATGTGTATGAGTCTTCTGCCTGCATGTATATATGTACACCATGTGTGTGGTGCCCACCAGGGTCAGCACTGGATTTAACAGATGATGAGCCACCGTATGGACAGAACTCATGCGCTCTGCAAGAGCAGCTAATGCTCTAAACTGCTAAGCCATCTATCTGTCCAGCTCAGCTGTGAGATTCTTTAGAAATAGGGAACTAAGCTAGGTGTGGCAATGCTCCAGAGGCAGAAGAAGCAGGTGGATCTCCGAGTTTGAACCCAGACTGGTCACAGAATGAGTTCCAGGACAGCCAAGGATGCATAGAAAAACCTTTTCTCAACAACAACAACAAAAAAAAGAGTGCCTGGCGGTGGTGGTGCACGCCTTCAATCCCAGCACTCAGGCAGAGGCAGGTGGATCTCTGAGTTCGAGGCCAGCCTGGTCTTAAAAGCAAGTTCTAGGACAGCCAGAGCTACACAGAGAAACCCTGTTTCAAAGAAACCATAACTACAAAACAAAAACAAACCAAGGCTAGTTGCTGGATTAGAAGTGGAATTTATGGGTCCAGAAAAATGAGTTAATTGTTTGCCGTACAAATGTGAAGACATGAGTTCAGGTCCCTGGTACACACACAACAGCTAGTACAGCAGTGTACAGCTGTATGCTATGGGAGGCTGTGCAGAGAGAGTGGATCCCAGCAGCCTTGGCTCCAGCCAATCTAACCATCTAACCATTCAAAGAGCCCCAGGTACAATGAAGAGACTCTGACTCAGATAATATAAGGGGAGGAGTAGTAGAGGAAGAGACCCAATAACTCTGACCTCCACATATCTTCATACGTCCACAAGTGTGTGCACATTCATGCACACACACATACATTAAAATGCTGTCTGGCAGTGCAGCGAGTAGACCTTTTGGAATCCCAATCAGATAATCCTAACATGACATTGTAAGAGCATCAGGAAAGTTTTGGAGTACCGACTCAGTATATAATGGTGTTAACGTATTAAAAACAGATGCTAGGGGCTGGAGAAATGGCTCGGCAGTTAAGAGCACAGGCGGCTCTTATGGAGAACTTAGGTAGGATTCCCAGACTGTACATGGTGGCTCACAGCTGTTTGTAACTCCACTTCCAGAGAATCTGATGCCTTCTGGCCTCTGAGGGTACTGTGCATGCATATGGTGTACAGACATGCACGTAGATAAAACACCCACATACATAAAATGAAAATTAAAAATACTGGTTTAAGGGAGTCAGGAATTCGTGTGAACTTCAGCTGAAACACAAGTGGTAAAGGGGAGAACTGCTGGTTCTGAATAGGCAGCTTTCATAGATGCTTTGCTCTGGTCTTTCTTTGTATTTTATAAGAAAGAAAATAGCAGCTGGGAGGTGGTAGGGCACGCCTTTAATCCCAACACTCGGGAGGCAGAGGCAGGTGGATCTCTGTGAGTTCGAGACCAGCCTAGTCTACCAGAGCTAGTTCTAGAACAGGCTCTAAAGCTACAGAGAAACCCTGTCTCTGGGGGAGAAAAAGAAAAAAAAAAGCAAAAGCATTATTATTATCTAGAAGAGAAACATTAAGTCATTAAATATAGTGGGTGTGTTTGTTAGGAGAGGGTCTCAGGTAACCCAGGCTGGCCTAGCACTCCCACCCTTGTGTGGTATGGTGGCACACAGCTGTGGTGGTGCACACCTGTAGTCTCCACATTTGGGAGCCTGAGTCAAAGGATCAAGTTCGAGAACAGTCTAGGCCATGGAGCCAGACCCCACATCAGAAGAACAAGGGAAACTGCATGGTGTCCTGCAGGCTTTAACATGCCAGTCTGTTGTCCTAGCCCTCAAGAAGAGGCAGGGATGACAAACCACCGGGCAGAAGACCACCCAGAAGAAGTAGAGAGTCATCATGAAGAGGAGGAAACTCTTGCTTCTCTGGAGCCACCTCCTGAGATTCCTAGAGAGAACCAAACCACAGGTACGTGCATGCTTCACGCTCCCCTTGGTGGGTGCTCCTACGCAGTGAGTGTACCGGGGTCTCCCTGCAGCGTCTTAGCTCCGTGAGCCTCAGGTTTGTGATTGCGTGAGGAAGCAGCTGTCCCTGCTCTGCCACCCCCACCCAGGCTTGGGCTCAGAGGATTGATCTTCATTTTATTTTTAATCTTTCTCAAAAGATCCTAGAAGAGCCAGGCACAGGGACTTTCCTGCAGTTCCTATACTCCAGAGGCTGAGGCAGTTCAAGGCCAGCTTGCGCTAACACAAGACGACCTTTATCTCAGAGATCATCAGGCTGGAGAGGCGGTTCAGTGCTTAAGACCACATACTGCTCTTCCGCAGTTTGGTGCCACATCCGATGCCTTGAGCACCTGAGATCATGTGCATCCACTTCTGCACAGACACACATGTGCATCCACTTCATACAGACACACATGTGCATCCACTTCATACAGACACACACGTGTTTGTTCGTTTGTTGTTTTTGAGACAGGGTTTCTCTGTGTAGCACTTTGTAAACAAGTTTGGCCTCAAACTCACAGAGATCCGCCTGCCTCTGCCTCCCTAGTGTTGGGATTTAAAGAGTGTGCCACCACACCCAGATACATAATTTAAAACAAAGTCCTTTTTAAGCAAGGCCTTCCTACATGGAAACCTTTCCTTCTCACAGGCCTGGGTTCTGATGCCCTTGCTCCAGCCTGGCTGATACCATGGTGCACACTGGGATTTCAGTGGACTAGCACCCTGCTGTCCATAGCACATTAGAGTGGACAGTTGGATACTCTTCTCTGCCAGTCTTTCTTGTGTGTTTTGTGTGAATGTGGTGGTGGAGCCTTGGCCCTCACAAGCTCTTCACTCCTGGGCTCCATCCACAGCTTTCTCGTGTTTTTGAACCTTTTTTCTTCTTTCTGGTGGAGTTTTGGAGGAATGGGGTTAGGTGTGCTTTTAATATGTTTGCTGCAGTTGCTACTTAAACTTTAAGTGGGTAGGTAAGAGGGTCAAGACAGTTTCTCTGTGTTGCCCTGGCTATCCTGGAACTCACTCTGTAGACCAGGGTGGCCTTGAACTCAGACCCACCTGTCTCTCCTTGCTGAGTGCTGAGATTAAAAGAAGTGTGTACCACTCACTATACCTGGCCTCTTATGTGTTTGCTTCTTATACTCTGTGAGCAAGACACATTTCCAGAGGAGTTCCAGGACAGAGAAACCCTGTCTCAAAAAACCAGAGAAAGAAAAAGAAGGAAAAAGTCTCTCTGCCCCCACTTCCAGCCCTGTGGGAGCACAGCCTCACCCCTCCCAGCCCTGTGGCATTGTAGTGATCCCAGCATCGGGAACCACTCTTCATGGTGCCTTAAAGATGTCGTCTTCTGGCCTCTGGACTGGCACTTGCCACCAAGCCTGACAACCTGAGCTGGATTTCTAAGCTGTCTTCTGATCCCACAAGCATGCACAGATGAATGCACACACAAACACACACACAATAAATATTAATTAGCTATGTTCAAAGCAACATATTTGTATATATATATATCTGTATGTTTGTGTGTGTATACTTATCTTCTATTTTCTTGGTGTATTTTAGTGAAAAATCTGTCCCCGTCTCCTGAGTCCTCCACGTCACCAGATCCGCCCTCTCCGCCAAAGCTCACAGAAGGATCGCATTTCATGTGTGTGTAGTCTCAGAAGTATGTCTTTTCCTTCTCTTTGGTTCCTTGTGTTAGGGGTGTTTTACTTGGATTGTATTCATTTGTTGGAACAGCAAGCAGTCCAGGCGAATTAACTCTGGACTGTGCTCGGCCAGAGCAGCACAGCAGACCATGTATCAGAAGCCCAGACGGTAGCTCGGATTTCTCACGTTGGCCTGTTTTTTCTCAGTCTCTCAGCCGGGGCCAGTCCTCCTCACTCTGACCTGACGTCCTGCTCATGGCTGAGGATGCGTTTGCATCCTTTCGTGCTCATAGGACAGTGTTGGGCTCTTAGTTTGGCACCTCTGACTGGCTTCGTAGGAATTAGCCACTCTTTTTTTTTTAATATTTATTTATTAAGTATACAGTGTTCTGTCTGCCTGCATGCATGCAGGCTAGAAAAAAGCACCAGATCATCATTACAGATGGTTGTGGGCTACCATGTGGTTCCTGGGAATTGAACTCAGGACCTTTGGAAGAGCAGGCAGTGGTCTTAACCTCTGAGCCATCTCTCCAGCCCATGAATTAGCCACTCTTACACTACTCCTTAGACTGCAGTTGTAGAATTGAGGATAACTTTTGAGTCACTGCTTCCTTTGCCTTTTATTATTATTATTATTATTATTATTATTATTATTATTATTATTATTATTATGTGATGTATGTGTGTGACGGGCATGAGTGTACCACAGCGAGTGTGTGGAGACCAGGGGACAACTTGGTAGAATTGGCTCTGGGATTTGAACTTGGGTTGTTGAATGTGGTGGCAACATTGCTGGGCTGTCTCACCTACCCCCAGGACCTGCTTGGGAATAATGTAGACATTGTTTTACCTATAATTTAGTGCTCATAAGTAAAGACTTTTCTTTTCCTGAAAAACTAAAGTAGACCCGGGTGGTGGAAGCACACACCATTAATCCTAGCACACAGGAGGCAGAAACAGGTGGGTCCCTGCGAGTTCGAGGCCAGCCTTGTCTACAGAGTAGGTCCCAGGACAGGCTGCAAAACTACAGAGAGAAAAACCCTACCTCAAAAACAAAACAAAACAAAATCTAATATAGAGTGACAATATTCCTCTGTTTTTTCAGCATCTGCCACCTCTTACGGTACTGGGAGCTTATTTTAGGTTACCATAAATTCCCAGCAGGCGTAAGTGGTAATGCAAACACTGAGGAAGTCTTCCAGTTTCACCAGGCCGTTGTCACGGCAGGGCCTGTTGTCCAGAACCTGTCTTCACCCTCACTTTTCTAGTAGTTGTTCTCAGTGTCCAGAAGCGTTTGTGTGTTCGGCCTTTATCTGAGGCTGTCTATCAGCCTGCACTGGGTTGAGATGCTTGCTACAGTTAGGAGTGACCTGTTGCAACAGGCACCTCCGTGTTGTGCCTGTTTACAAGTGACACTGGTGGCAGAAGAACCCTAGACGAGGGGAAGTAAGCACGCCCACACTTACGTTAGTGACATTGAGAGCCAGTCCCAGGGCCAGGTGTGAGGATGCACACCTGTGATCCCAGCACCTGAGAGGCAGACACCAGTGGACCTCTGTGAATTCCAGGGGCCAAGGCTGCGTGGTGAGACCCTGTCTCCAAACAAAAACTGTCTACTGGATATGCAGTTCCGTCAGTAGAGCGCATACCTAACATACATAAAGTGTCTAGATTCTGTTCCATTGCTGTGAAGTGACCACGGCAACTCATAAAGGAAAACATTTAGTTGAGGTGGCTCACAGTTTCGGAGGTTTAGGCCATTGTCATGGCAGGGAGCATGGCAGCACGCAGGCAGACACAGTACTGGAGAAGGAGCTGATACATACTGAACCACGAGCTTGAGCCGAGGAGACCTCAAATACCCCCATAGAAACACACTTCCTCCAACAGAGGCCACACCTCCTAAAGCCATCACAATGGTGCACATCAGTAATCCCAGCACTTGGGAGGGGGAGCAAAAAAAAAAAAAAAATCAAGGTCATCCTTGATTAACTGGTGAGTTCCAGGCCAGCCTGAGCTTCATGTGGCCCTATGTCAAAACAGAATGCCATCCACATGAATCTTTGGCTCAGTAAACAGGCTCTAACCTTTGGCACAATAACCGTTTCTCTAACAAAGGAAGGTCAGAGCTCAAGATTTACCGGTGTGGTAACTTGTTACTAGATTTTGTCTTTTGACTCTCATTCCAAGGGTCATTGATCATTATCTCTAGGCACAGCCGTCAGCACACGGTTTCTTGTCCCATTGTGTGGTCACCACACAGCTGACTGTGGCACAGCACTGCCACCCTTACATCTTACCATTGCATCTGTCCTGTTTTTCTGCTCTTGTGGTTTTGGTGGGATGTGAGAATCCTCACAAATGCCGCTGCTGCTGTGGGGGTGGCTCAGTCAGTTAGTTCATATTATAGTGAAGTCAGGCAAAGTTATGCCTACCTTATGGACCTGCTCAGCAGCAAATTTGAGACATTATTTCTGAATTGCTGTTTAACTGCATCAGACGTAGGAATGAAGAAAGTGCCCTTCTGTGTGTTCCGTGTGAGGTTTCCAGGCTGTGTTGATCACTTCTGCTGTTCTGCCTTAGTTACTTTGGGACGCTGCCATCCCTTAGCTTTGCCATTGTCAAAGTCATTTCCTCTCTCTTGGTTTTCAGCTGCACTGCCCCTTGAGAGCACACAGAGCTGAAGCTGTGGACCCTCGGCGATGGAAGAAGATGTTGTCCAGTATACCTTAAATCTATGAAATTCATAGTTCCGATGCTTCTGACCTCAGAGCATCGTTTTATCACCTTTGGAAAATGTTTATTCCAAAATAGCTTTAATGGCCCATGCGTGCACTCCGTAGTCTCCAGGTCGCTGTTCTCCACCAGTGCTGCTGTACATCAGAGCATACCAGTCCAGGTGCTTTCTCCCTCGCGCTCCATCCAGAGCTTGCTTAGTTGCAGTTCCCAGATTTGGATGCTTAAGTCTAGGTGAATTTACGTTGCTTTGGCTTTTCTTCAAAGCTATACTTCCGTGTGGAGCTTGTTTTCTTTCCTTCTTTTTCTTCCCATTCTGGCTACTGCAGTACTTTGTTTGACACTTGATTTGTAAAAATTTTATATAAATATATTTAAAATGTGCCATTTTATTACTGCTAAGTGAAGTATGTCCTGTTTTCTGCTATAATTCTTCCTCGGTCAGATTGCACCGTCAGCGGTTACTGCCACACTCTGTCAGCTTCAACACAAATGCTACTGCTTAGCTTTTCTTTAAAAAGCAAAACAATTACAAGTGTAGGTATTTTGAAGTACTGGACTTTTACGTCATTGGAATAGATGTGTACAGCAATAAGCAGGCTTTTAGATCCAGTACTTGGTCTGTGTACAGATGTAATTATGTTCATTGTGTAGATGTTATACAATGAGCACATGTAATAAAGGCTGCTTACTGTAGTTTAATGCAAATGTTCATATCTCATTTCTTTTTTATCATGTTAAATAAATGTTGATGTTCTTAAATCGCTTGTGTTAGAATCTTTTTCCCTCCCTCCCTCCCTCCCTCTTACCCCCTCTCTCCAAGGTTTCACTATGTAGCTCTGGCTTTGAAAGACAGCCTGCCTCTGCTTCCCAAGGTTGGAATTAGAGGTGTACACCACCACATCTGGCTACAATCTTTTTTCTTTTCATCGAAAATGGAGAATCTGAGATCTGGAATGTAGCCCAGAGGTAGAGCACTTTCCCAGCATGTTTGAGGGAGGGGAGGGGGTGAATCAGAGACCCAAGTGACTTCTTAAAAAAAAAAAAAAAGTGGTGTGTTAATCCTGTCTCCCTGGGCAGTGCCATTAGGTGGGCTTATGTTCCCAGCCCTCCCGTGACAGAGTAGAGGAACCTGAGGCCAGAGAACAAAATGATGCCGATCACAGTCATACCTACTTCATGACACAGGGGAGTCCACCATGTCATTGCTCCGACTTCCCATATCTCCGTCAGCTCATCGCCAGTGGGCAGACTTAGTTTTGTGAAGTCTCCTACCCCATTTCCACGTGTTTAGAGAGTGAACATGGGGGAGGGCGGACAGGGCTGCCTCGGCCATTGGGAACAGACAGTGTTTCTCATGAGTAGGGGCCCTCAGAGATGGTCTCTTTAGAATACATTCTTCACAGATGTTCACGCTCTTCAGACTCAATTACGTTTCCTTCCTCTCCGACCTTTTGTTTGTGCTATATATTGTTCCCAGAGTACAAGGAAATGCTAAGCCTTCTGGATTCCCGCACAGAGCAGCTCCAACCAAGTTTTCACTGTCGAGTGAGCCCCCCACCCCATAATTCACTAAAGAGGATTTAGGCTTAATTCTAAATGCAGGTGAATGAAAATGCGTGCACTGCAAAAGGAAACAAACAAAAATGTGCTTCGCTGGAATCTGCGGGTCAGTGAGCCCAGGTTAGCCCAGTGCTGCAAGCTCCATATCGCTGTCAATCAAGTCTCAGACTATGCCCCCTTAGTCATATCATGATGGAAGGTGGCTTTGCCATGGTGAGAGGTTGTTTTATTTTTCTTTGAGGATTCTTTGAGCTTCTTTAGGATTTGGGGGTTGTGGGGGGAAGGATTCTTTTTTTTTTTTTAAGATTTGCTTATGATCTTTAAGTGTGTCTGTGTGTATTTGTACACACGAGTTCAGGATCCTACCAAAGCTACAGACACCAGAACCTCCAGATGGAGTTACAGGGAGTTGTGGGCTACTGTGAATCCCACCAGGCAAGAATAGGACCACTACCACAATTTCCAGCCAAACTGAAGCAAGCTTTAAGTACTGGCCAGGATGATGGAATCTGGCCAGGTCCATTCTGTGGTTCCCAGAAAATGGTCAACCCATAAGGCTAAGTACTTCCTGCCTACATCCATCCTGGGACAAGCAGACATCCTGATGCATTTCCTGTCCCCATACCTCCTACCTGCCTGCAATCAAGCACATCTGGTGCAACTGGATCAAACAAATGTGTCTAGGAGAGTAAAAACATGTGGCTTGTTATCTTACATGGCCAGCAACCTCCAGCACCTCAGGAAGTACCTGTCCGTGGCATGGGGCTTACAGCTTAGAGGCATTTTTTGTTTTATGGAGCTCAGAGGTGCAGTAATTAAAACTTAAAATATAACTTTGGCTCTTGCCCTGCCTGACATCGGTCACCAAACTTGGGTCCTCCGGAAGAGCAGTATACACCGTTTGTTCCTGACATCTCTCCAGACCCTAGTTAGGTTATCTTACCTGTCTATTTCTAAGTACGTGTGTGAATCGGCTCAAGGCCAGAAGGGCTTCTGTTCACTTAAACTGGTTTCAAGTGACTGTAATCTGCCCACCGGGTGTGGGTATTGGGAACCACACCTGGGTCCACTAGAAGAGCAACAAGTGTTCTTTTTTTTTTTTTTTTAAGGATTTACTTATTTACTATATATGCAGTATCTGCGTGTAGTTCAGAAGATAGTGCCAGATCTCATTAGGGATGATTGTGAGTCACCATGTGGTTTCCAGGAATTGAACTCAGGACCTTTGGAAGAACAACCAGCTCTTAACCACTGAGCCTTCTCTCCAGCCCCCAACAAGTGTTGTTAACCTGAGCCATGCCTCTAGCTCCTTCCCACAAGTCTTCCTAAGGTGAAGTAGTTTAAGAAATGTCTGTAAATCATCTGAAGTGTTATAGGAACTTCTGAAGCTTGTCTAGCACAATCTGCCGCTTCTGATTCTCTGCCTTCACCGCCCACGTGCTGGGATTGTGGGCCTGCACCACCGTGACCCATTTTATGTGGTCCCGGGAATCAAACCCAGGGCTTCCTGGATGCTAGGTGAGCACTCTGCCAGCTGAGCTGCCTGCTGGCCCTAAATCTGGCACTAAATTCAGAAGCTTCCTTGTTATGCTAAAGTGCTTTGAGTGAAGTTTTCCCAAAATCTTCTTGAATTCATAATGTGGTGGTTAAATGTAAATCTGTAGTATGTAATTTGGATTTTTAAAGTTGGCATTAATTCTTTTTTGATTTGTCAATTTTGAAGTTTTTAAAATGTCTATCAGAAACATGAAAGGGCCGAGTAATACAGCTGGCAGAAATAAACCATGCTATGGGATTCGAGCCTGGGCAGCTCTCTTAAGTATAGGATAGAATAGAACCAATGTCCCCGTGTGCCCCTCAGCAATCCCCGGTCTCTGGGTACAGTCCCTGGCTCTGCTCTTCCCTAAGACGCGCCATCCAACAGGTGTTTGACATACCTCTCAAGGAGCACCTGCTGCAGGTGTTAGGCGGTCTAAGCAGCTGCAGAGACACAGGTAGCAGAAAGAGGCTTGGTCTGACCATAGGCGGGGCCGTGCCTTTTCACAGTGAGGGCTGGGGGACTTTTGTCACTCATGCAGAGGACCACAAGGCCTAAAGAGAAGGGTAAGATGCAGGGAAACTCATTCCTAACTCAGAGACTATAAAAAGTGCAGGGCAGGGGTGTTATAGCTGCATTCTACTGAGTAGGATCTTTGTTCTAGGTCCATAAAGAGGAGGCGCCTCTGGTCATGTAGCAGAGGGAAAATCTTGATTAGCTGTGATGGATCAGGCAATTGCTGTCCTCTGTTCCTGAGGAGACTTGGGAAATATTTATCTCTGTAAGCAGATGATTTAGTGACAGAGTAGCACTGGGCTATTTTCTGGGAAGGATGAGGGGTACGGAGGAAAAGGGGTGGGAGAAACAGAGTGGCCACCGAGAGGAAGTGGGCAGAGAGTTGACTCACGGTGGCAGTGACTGGTCCCATTGCCAGGAATAGATTGAAATGAGCTAGCAGGAGTGGTAGACAGCTACAGAGCATCAAAAGAAGAGAAAATGAGAAAATAGAAGACTATAATAAAGAATCGTATCTGGCCTGGGGCGATCTGAAACCTCAAAACCCCACCCCACCCCTGTTACACACTTCTTCCAACGACAAGCTCACACCTCAATAATGCCACTCCCTATTAGTCTCTGGTGGCCATTTTCATTCAAACCACCACAGATGTATCAGGAAAAAACAGCTCTGAGAGGGTGTGAGCTATCAGGAGAGCATGCATGGAACATTGTGTTTGGGTCTAGGGTGAAGTTTGGTAAGAGAAACATCTACAACAGGGTAAAACATAGGTGTACGAATACTGAGGAGGAAAGAGATCCAGAGGAGGAGCCAGAGCGGGAGAAAACCAGAGGAAGCTGTGTATGTTCCCCGGGCCCTTAGGCATCATTTCAAACCAGTTAGGATTTATTGGTGTGGAAGCAGCATTGTTCCAGGAGGGCACAGGTCCCATCCTTGGCAGCAGGCATGGAATGGCAAGAAGAGGGATGAGTTGGATGAGCTCAATGGCCTATGACCCATCATTAGTCCTTTTTTAGAGAGAACCAAGCTGCTTTTAGGGGCCTTGGGGTGTCACTCTCTTAGTAACGGCTTCAAGGCTGACGTGGTCGTTGAGGGGACTGGCAGTTAGAATGCCTCAGAAGAGGGTCCATCCAAAGGCTGTGCGGAACAGTCGGCAAAGATCCAGAACGTAAGTCAGTGCACAGTTTTGTGGGGAACCTTAAGAGACAATTACACGAAGAAAACTTTTACATTATAATTATTGAATTCAATGCAATTCTACAACTGGCTGGACCACTGGACCACGTACTGGGCATAGAAGGGTGAGGTGGCTGTAATCAGCCGTTTGTTTACAACAGACTCCTGCATAAGGGACCAGCACCTGGAACTTTTGTAAAAGAAGTCAGTTAGCCCAGCGGTGGCACACGCCTCAGAGACCGGTGTATCTCTGCGAGTTTGAGACCAGCCTGGTCTAGAAATCCTGTCAAAAAAAAAAAAAAAAAGTCAGCTTCCGAGGAATCAATCATGAATCTGAAAAGAAAGTGTAATGGTCCTGGCCCTTTTAAAGACAAGTCCCGCCTACTCCCTCCCCCATCTGCTGAGGCAAGTGGATCTTCCAGCCTGGGAGCCCTTCCTTTCTGTCTCTCTCCCTTCTCCTCGCTTCTCCCCTCCCCCCCATTTCTCTTTCTCTCTGTCTGCCTCTCTCCTCTTCTCCCTTCTTCCCTTCCCCCCTTTCCCTTCCCCTCCATAACCTGCTAAATAAATACCCACTTTCTCTGCATGGTATGCCTAATAGGTCTCTGTCTCTCACCTGCCACGTGGCTCCCCACCTGCCTTCATGGCCTGCCATGGTCTCGTGGCCCACTGACCACTGCTGCCACTTGGGGACCTGCAGCGTTTTACCATAACAGAAAGCATCTAAGTGGTATTTCTTACTTTCGTGCATAATGGGCTTGGCATATTTGTTTACAGTATCAGCTACTATTTAATGTACAAAAACAGCATCTCAAATAAAACACCATTTTTGGTTAGAAACAATTTTATAGGTAAAAACCTAAAACTTGGGACTGTTACCTTAAATGACCCTATTAGTATCTGAAAACATGACAATACAGATTTTTGTTATCATAGTTGCTAGGTCATCATCCAAGATGGCAGCAACCCACG